GGGAGAACACAACTTGAGGGTAAAGAGGAAATGTGGTCTACAGAAACCATGGATATCTCTAAAATTTCAATCATCATGAGCTACATTTGTGCCTAGCAATAGAGTCTTTGCTTCTACAACAAGATTTAGCAGACACATAACAATTGTGTATGCTCAGGATGCTTCATGATGATGCTTCTGTAAGTGTATACATTGCGTAATGGCCAATGAAGGCAAATGTGTATATCACTTCAGACATGTCACATTTCTTCAGAGCGAAAGCCAACCAATCCTATCTAAGAATTTTTAAATAGAGAGCACGTAGCACATAAAAATAATCTAGTTATTATACTGTGCAATGGAATCCCAGAGCTGCTGGTTCCCATATAGCTGTAACTTTCTAGTCCTCAATCAGCCTTTCTCCATGGCTCCTCCCCCTTCTTTCCTTCACAGCCTCTGTGAACCACCAATAGATTTTACTTTTAAGAGATCTGCATTTTTTTTTTTTAGATTCCTCATAAATGAAATCAGGTGATACTTATCTTCGCATGCCTGGTTTATTTCCCTTAAGGTAATGAACTTCAGTTCCAACTATGTTGTTGCAAATTAAAAACTCAAAATACGTGGAGTAAAGCTGGGACTCTGAAGTTATACTTTTGTGTAATTGCTTGGTATAGTTCAAACAACCGCAATTCCTTTTGCCACATCTCCCTTTCTCCCTTTCTTCTCCCCTGTTCTCCACTCCCTTCCCTCTCTCCTCTCTCTTCCTCTTCTGCCCTCCTCTCTCCTCTCTTCTCCTCTCCCTCCTTTACCTTTCAACAAGATAAATCAAAGGATTCAGGCATGGAGGAGTTGAATTTTCTTCTTTTTAGAAAAGATTTGTTTATTTTTATTGCAAAGTCTGAGACATATATCTATATATATATGTCTCAGACTTTGCAGACTTTGTAGTATATATATAGTATATATATATGCTTTGTAGTATAGCATATATATATATATATATATATATAGAGAGAGAGAGAGAGAGAGAGAGAGAGAAGGAGTGACAGAGAGAAGGAGAGACAGAGAGGAAGATAGCCATATCTATCTTCACAAGAGCTCTTGGCACAATGTAAGCCTTCATTATAGGCCTTTGGTCTCTCACTCTAGACAAAGCTCCATGACTAGGGACCACAGTGCAGTGTACCGATAATGTTAGATTAACTTTCATTGTGTGTCTTACGGTTGTAACTGCTGCATATGCCTTAACCAGTATTCAAATTGTATAATGGTGCATTTCTTATAAAGAATAGCCATCGCCTGAAAAAAAAATGGAAAAGTTTCAAATATACAGGGAGTTCATTCTAATTTAATCTCATTTTGAAATTCATTTCAAATTAATCAGCTGTTTATCCTTGGCCAGGTAAGGATGTAAGGTGACTCAACTCATGTTTCGCTTTCCCTTGCCTTGTTTGAATGATTCTAATCCCATAAGATGTTTCTACCTTGCTCTCTCAAGACCACACATTGATTCTCTTGACTGCCAACAAGACAAAGTATCTTTTCTAGTCCTTCATATCCAGCCTGACCTAAGGCATAATTAAAACACAGCATTGAGTTTTAAGACCATTACTTTCACCTGGGGCCTGCCCAATGAATTTCTCGTAAAAAAACATCATTTACAGGATTCTCTGGTGTCACTGAACTTGAAATCATGTGGCTAAAAGGTCCTGCCTGTTTCTCTGTGTCCTAACAATATGAACTGGATTTACTTATTCTCTTAGCTTCAGTGAGGAGTTTGACAATTATCAAGGCAATTATTGAATCACTACCTAATTATTTTCTTGGGTTATCGTGACTTTCAAATCCTTCCCCTTTTCTTTAGGATTCTGAATCACTCAGGTAGTTTCCTTTGTGACTTTGGCTGCTTTCTTGGTTGTGAGACCCGCTGTACCTGAGAAAAATTCCCAAAGCAAGTTGTAAGAAATCTCATTTCTATTTTAAATGCTAAAATGAAAATGTCCATTCTTCAGTTTTGAATGAGCCATCGATATGATCCGCATTAGATGATAAAAATAGTACACATAGATTCACTTGCATGAAAAATTTAGAAAGGAAATGATTAAAAAAAACCAAATCTATGACTCTTTTTATTCCTTGAACAGCACAAGATGTACTAAGAGAATGTGAGAATGAAAAGAAAAAAAAAAAAAACTTCTCCAAGGAACTTTGAGAGAGCTATTGCTTTTCTGCTGTTGCTTTGGGGAAACAGTGTGTCATGTTTCTGTCTTCCTACTTTCCTTTGGCCTAGTCAGGGGGCTTCCACGGATGCCCCATATTGGGAGAACCAGAGTTGAGAAGATCAACAGTCCCTGTAGATACAGCACAGTGTAAATTACATTAAGATTATCACAAATGTCTCGGACTTATAGAGAAAATGATGCCAGAGTGTTTCTCTTGGATGAAATGTGGATCACATAATCTTGAATTCTGTCCAGAACACTCATATCAAGGGGGGCTAATACTCCCAAGAGCAAGGAATTAGACATAAATATGTAAGGTCCTAGGACATACAGAACTTTCAAGTGATCAGAAAAAATTGTTATGTTTAAACTAAGTGAAATTGGGAGAAAGAGAATAAAACTTTACAATGTGAGGAATGGCTTACAAAATAGGCTATTATTAACAGGAACCTATGTTTCGATGACAAAGCTTATCAGAATGTAAACTTCACAATGTAAGGACTATGAATATCTTGTGCCATGTTATGTTTTTAAGATCTGTCACAGTACCTAACTTATAGCAGTTGCTCCATAAGTAACTGAATAAATGCACACCACAACTTGAGAGTGTGCTGGCTTCATTTCTGAAACATGGTTTTGGTTCCTTTATAGAAAGTGTTACACTGAAACAACCTACCATTCAGTGGTTACATAATGTTGCTGCAATGTGCTCACATGTTCTTAGTGGAAACATCTGTTACAAAAGAATAGGAAGGCCTTCTAGTACTCCCAGCACAAGCTTATGGAAAGGTGGTTCATATTCGGAAATCAGAAAACAAGTTTAATTTGTGAGATGGTAAGTGGAAGCATGGTTTTCTACATTGCTAAAATCAATGTCTGACCAATTTAATGTTCTCAGCAGAGAAGAAAACTCAGCAGCTTCGTTTAAGAAATGTAATTCTCCCCAGATTCCACGCGTTCCCCAGATCCCATGCATTCTCCAGCATCCTGAACCTCCCTGTACTGCTGCTGGAAAGAATACTTGTGTGCCTCTGTGTTCATTCTGAGCAAATGGGCATCATGAGTTTGAAGTAAACACTTAGGCTATCATTTTGAAACTTTCCTGGATGTTATCTTTCCACTTTCTCTTAGCTTTGGGTTCTATTATCCTTGAGAAAAACTTGCCTTATTTTACCCTTTGTGGCCCAATCCCCACCTGAGGTCCTTGCTTCTCAAGGAAGATAAATTCTACCTGCTGAAAATGTGCAGGTGCTATGCTTATCACAATTGTGAAAAGAACTACTAATAGCTTCTGACAATTGTTTTGAAGTGCTTTAGTTAGGATGTTTCTTGCTGAACTTGGAGTTGAATCTGAAATGGACACAGAGAGGTGAGCAGACCAGTTATAGAGGGTAGAGACAACTTAATGGTTTAAATTGCACCCTCTGTGGAAGGATTCTAAGCAAAGGATTCATGTGAGCAATGTTTAGAGTTTGTTTCTTGATGACGTTAGGGCAGTGTTGTGAAAGCCAAGTGCTATACAGTACAGAAGGGATTTTTCTTTTGGTTACATTTTTATTTTGAATTTTTGAATCTTATGGTACAATTTCATATAGATTGAGATTCCCCAAGCTCCAAATTCCCAACCTATGACAGATTTTCCCCCTGTTGGTACAATAGTGTAGTCTTTCATAAGGAGTCATAATTCCATCAATCTGTTATTTAAGTGTGCACTGATATTGCTGGTACAGGCAATGTCAGGCAGTCCAGCATTCCATTGTTTACACATTTGCAACAGTTTCATTGAGAGTCCATCTTTGATTTGGAAGCAGGGATGCTCACTGTACTGTATCCCCACATCTGGATATGGTAGTCTCCATTACTCCATCACTAAATATCCCCGTAAATGAGAAGCCATGAAATAAGGTTAACAACCAGTATGAATTAGAACAAAAGTAACAACAGGAACAACAACAACAAAATTACAGCACCATGAAAAAATGCATCACTGAGTAACCAACACATGGGTGACAAAAAGAAAACACAAAAGTCTCTTGGGTAAAATGATGCCTCTATGTAATCCATGAGCCAGCGATGAATTTGACAAGAGAAAAAAAAAGTATTTGGAATAAAGAAAACTGAAATAAAAAAATATCAAAACACATGGGATGCAGCCAGAAAAAAAAAAAACAGTATGGAATGGGTTATTGAGGTTATATTTTGCATGATGGTTTCCTTGCAAGAGGCATTTTTAAGACACAGAGGCACGTTGGTTCTTCTACAAAATTATCATGGCCTTATAGGTTTTAAGTTTTCATTACTAATTTTTGTAAACTTTTCTCCCCTTGTCTGATCACTCACTGTCAGATTCTCAACTATTGCTTACTTATCTCATAGTTGTCTCCCTGGAGCAATTTCAGAATGCCTTATGATTGATTTGTAGCTGGAAAAGTAAATAGAAGAATTTCCATTGCAATTTGACATGTCTTTTGAGTTGTTATTAAAATAATTTTTAGTTGCTGCTGAGAATCATTGGAGTGCCCTGGCTTTGTGATGCTATTCTAGTTAAAGTTTTCCCTGTCTATAATGCTCAACCTTTCTTTCCTGGATAATGAAATACCAATTACCAAATAAGTAGATGTGAAAAAAATGCTCACATGCTAAACAAGTGCAGGTGAAATAAAGTAATACTGTTTTAGTAGGCAGACAGGTAGATAAGAAATTTAAAGCAGAGAGAGCTAACGGCATCCAGTTGTTCAGGGCAAATCTGTAGATGTCAATCATTTCGTTTTCAAGTGCTCTTATTAATTCAAGACCTCAAACCCACACCAGGGGTTTGATGACAACATAGCCATTCATTTCAAAGATCAGGGCCTGCCAGTCAAGGATATTAGGATTGATGGTAGAACTGCTATATGTGAAGAAGATGTCCTCTGGGGACAGCACCGAATCCCACATGTACACATCCCCAATCTCTCCCACAAAGGACTGGCTCCTATCACACCCACCCCTGAAGGAATCAATCTTGCTCCTGTCCTAGAAGTATCTTGGGGTAAGCATCAATAGAGTAACCTTTCTTCAGACCCTTTTTTACCAAAGGCTTCCCAATGACCCAAAATTCAACAATGCCTGAGGAAGATTCCCAGCTGACACAGAGGTGCACTGGGGCTGGGAACTCTTCATTGACTTTGACTGTGACTTTGGATCTTCCAACAGGCAGGCTGTACTCTCCACGTTCATTATTTTTGCCCTGTGCATTACAGGAGAAGAGGCTGTAGCCATGGGAAAGGTCACTGTAAGCTCGAAGACACAAGGTGAAGTTCTATAGAGGTTTCTTTAGGTTTTTGATAATGTTCACATGAGCAGTAGAAGATTCTACAGGGAACACAAAGACCTTCCCACTGAGGTCTGTGGAATCAAGAAAGAACATAGAAAAACAGCTCAGATTTAACTTCTTTTCTCATCTTAATGTTCCTTAACCAGCCCCTGACCACCTTACTTGTCTGAGACAAGGTTTCCATGAAGCAGGTGAAGAAAACCATCCAAAGCAGCAGCCTGTACATGTCCTTGTCCTGGGCTTTCACAGCAGTAATGGTGATCAGTATGCAAGTAGCTGACAGCACAGGGCACTGTTTACCCAGCTTCTTCAGTTATAGAAAGATTCCCTATCTCAGGCCTTGCAGGGTTTATTTATATGCTCCATGAGGATGGGTGGTGGTGTGGTGGAGAGTACCAACAGCAAATTAATGATTTTCCAGGCCTGCTTCCTGGTGCCAGGATTCAGAAGTACAGATGGAAATAGAATAGTGAAGCCCTAGGCTGGGAAATCAATTAGAGTTATTTATTAGACACAAATGACTTCCCAGAACTCCAGATTCCATTGCTGAGAAGGAAGTGGCTGTAGAGTTGCAAGGCTGTGGGATGGTGAAAGACTGGCCCCATTAGGAAAATTTCGCACTGTGTTCTGGGCACTTCTCAGTCTGAAGATCCTGTGTTCTACCAGGAATTCCTGAACCACGTGAGCATTGGAAACAAAGGCTTTCCTTTTCCTGTTTGTAGGGCGTTCTGTGATTCTGCTTTCTGCTAAAGGCCCTGAAAAATTCCTTTATTTTTGGTTAATTTAATGATGAAGCAGTGTTACAGTGAAAACAGATAACTGAAGTACAGACTTTCTATCCATCTCCCCCAAACACTGTTTTTCTGCTACTATTCCTCTCTCTCCCTTCTCTTCTTTCTCTTTCACCTATACAATGGTGCCTTGGATTTCCTCATTTCTCAGTGAGCCTTGTTTTTCTGAAGACATGTGGACTCTGTGCAGGGATACACCATCTTTCCCAGTTTCTTCTGTTTGAGTTCTTGGCCATTAAAGGTCTATATAACTCATCTTTGGTGGTGACATTACACATTATATCCATATTTACTCAGCAGTCCCTAAACACTATACTAGCTCTGAGGATAGATTAGTTTTGACCCTCGTATTACATATTACTCTGAGACTTCATCTCTCTCTCTCTTATCTATTTTGTTTGCTACCATGCAAACCTGATGTGTCTTTAGGATAGCAAACTGAAGTTTCTCTTTTTGATGTCATTATTTTGCTACTGTGTCAGCCCCAAATTTTGTGGAATCTTTACTCTCAATCTTTACACCTCAAGCAATTGTGTAGTTTTTTTGTTTTCTCTTTTCTCAGCTCATCCAGATGTTCAGTTCAGCTTTTGCGACAATACAGTAATAATCACCAAGAATTCACTTTCTCTACCAGTGTTCAAATCATGCTTCTGATCTTCACCTCTGGGAAGTATCAGTGTTCTACTAATTTCATTCTAAGTTGAATTCCAGGTTATAAAACTTTATTTGACTCATACAGGATTAGCACTAGAGTCGGAGTTATACTCTATGGCCATTTGAATTAAATATCTAGCTTTCAGCTTGAAGGCAATAGTATGTTCAGTTTAACTCCAACTTGGTTACAAAATTTTCCCCAAATCCGGTGCTTCAGTCAAATGTATTTTATAGCTGTTCTTTTTATATGCTTAACTTTCCTGTTTTGTTACTTTTATTTATTGTCTTCAATTGATCTTTTATTATGTTTCTTGAAATCCTATTTTTCATAATTAATCAAAAAAGCATTGGGCTTCCTGAAGTTTTCTGTTGTTCTAATTACAGATGATTTTGACCTCTCTGGAGATTCTCATAAGGTTAAGTTAAAATAGTTTAGAGTATAATTCCAGTCACCTAATCTGCAAGCTGTTGATTATTGTGAAAATCATTAGTGTTCTCTGAAAGTTAATTTTCTTCTCTGTGAAACAAACAGAACTGTCCATTTCCCAGTGACTTTTGTGAGAAAAAAATTAGATTGTATCATATTCACAAAGTGCATAGAATGTTTTAGATTTTTATGACTATTATCATGAACTGCCTCATATTAAAGGTTATATTATGTTTATTGCTTATCACCTCAAGAATGAATCTGGATATTAGATCTTACTCAAATTTAGGTCATTCATTTTTTCTAACAATTATTCTGCATGGAATGAATCTGACATGTATTTGTGGAGGCAAGTTCTCCAAATAGGATGGAGTCTGTTTACACAGAATCCTTTGTAACAATGCATTGTAAGCACAATTGAGTGATAAGAGCAGGTAATTCTCTAGGTAGGACCTGGACCTGGGAAGGGTTGCCCTGATTGGGAACGTAGGGAAAGTGCACATCCTCCAAGAGGATAATTAATGAGTGGCATTCAATTCAGAGAACACAGGGCTCACCAGCTGCTCCTAGTTTTCATCATAGATGACTAAATTATTATTCTGTCAACAAAGGGATTTGAAGTTAACATAGAAAAGAGTCTTTTGTAATGGGAGATGAATCCATGGAGCTGGTCTTGGGGGAAGAGTGAGCCCGTAGAGATTGGAGGTGATGGAGTTTATACTGTGTGTGGATCAAGGCGCAGAGCTCACATGGGCCATGGAGGAACTATATTCAGACATGCTAAAAACATAAGCTTAAAAGTAGACTTTGTTGTGGAATGGGGAAAGGAGAAGAAATTTAGAACATATTTTGTTTTGTTTGTTTATTTCCTTCCTCAGAATAAGCTTTTTTGGTTTTTAGAAGATGACATTTTCAACATTAGAAACTGAAGATCATTTGTCTTGGAGAAAGGACTCTGAGGTCAGGTGTGGGAATATGAATACTGGGTCTTCAGAACTGAGAAGAATTCAACAGGCAAACCAATTCTTGCTGCTGCTTTTTGGCTTCTGAGAGGCTCTTGGGTGCCTTCTTTTGGTAATAAACTTTCAGGTGAAGGCAGTGCTTCTACCTGGGTAACTCTGGAAGCACTGATGTTAGGTTGTAAGCATGACCGTATGTTGAAGAGAAGCAGATGCATCTATTCTTTAAGGAGAGTTGTTCTGGTTACATCAGTTGGCAGGCACTATAGCTTGCCTTTGGAAAGGCAGGGCACCAAAGCATAGCAGGTGCCAGAAAAATGATATGATTTAGTTGCACAAAGCAGGGAATGTGCATTATAACTGAAGAATACCTGAGAAGTTAAAGAATACCTTGAATATAGTTTCTTAAGGCTTAAATACTCATGGAAGATTGAAGTAATAGTAACATTAGGAAATGCAAAAAAAAAAAAAACCAAAGACATTAACATAGAACATGAATTAAAACAGTATTTTGTTAGGTATTTTGTTAATTTTAAGGAAATATAGAGGTATCTAAGTGGAAAGCGGCAATGAGGGCATCAAAAATACTTGATTACTCTGATACATGATTGTACCAAATTAAATGTACAATATCTTATATTGATGGGAACATCTAATGATAAATGCAAAAAAAAGGAAAATATGGGAATTTCAAAAAGAAAGCAATAGAATGTGGAGCCAAGTGATTTTTTTTTTCAAAATTATCCATCTATTTTCTTTGGAGAGAAAAAAAGAGTGATTACGATCTTACAAATAAGCTCTCATACACTCTTCAAATGCCTACCACAGTTGGAGACTGGCTAGACCAAAGCCAAGAGACAGAAACTTGGTCCACATTTTGCATGTGGTGGAAGTAACCTAATCACTTGTGCCATCGCTGCTGCTTCCCAGGATCTGTACTAGCCGCAGCAATAATAAGCACCCAGAGGTATGTGTTCAGCTCAGGTATTCCAATGTGGGACATAGGTGTCCCGTTGGCAGTTAAGCCAAACACTGGTTCCCTAAACATCCCTTGACAGATTTTGCTTCAAATTATGATTGTGTAGTTTTTGATCCATTTCTGTTGACATAACTGACCGTAACAACTATACAAAGCATGGAGAATAGAGTGAGTTTTATTTAACTCCTAATTCTGGAGGTTAGGAAATCCAAGCATTGGGCATCTGTCTTGTGAGGGCCTTCTTGCTGTAGCATGACATGGCAGAGGGTATCACATGTTCAGACAGTCAGCAAGTCAGTATCTGACTTATTTAGTTAGTTGAAGAAAGCATGATGCTATACGTTTATTTTATTGGAGAGGCAGAGAGACGGCAGTAGAGATAAATAGGAGGATACATCCACAGATACATCAACAAGTACAAAGACTGATGATAAATAACGGAGGGAACTCCCACTTGCTGATTCATTCCTTTAAAATTTGCAAAGGCATGTAGGTCCTGGGCCAGGACTGAATCTTGGAGTCAGACTCTCCATCCATGGCGAAACCTAATTTCTTGAGCAGTAACGACTGCTGCCCAGGGTATATGCCAGTGGGAAGTAGAAGGAGGGGATTGAACCCAGACACTATGATATGGGTCAGGCACGTTGAACCAGAATTCTAATTGGCCAATGCCTGTACCCAAAACTCATTTTCAGAATGAAGGTATTACCTCAACAAATCAGTAATCCATGATTGGGTCAATCCATTCATGTGATTCAGTTACCACCAAAAGTCTCACCTATTAAACCTCATTAGCATATGACTTTGGAGGTTCAATCTTCATGGCGTGAAACTCAAGTGACACATTTAAACTGTAGTATTTGGAATTGGGGAAGATAAGATACTTCTAGTGCACATGGATAACTGAAAGAAAGTGCATTTGGAGGCGATAGATGGTAGGGAGGTTTCCAAAATGCTAAATTTGATGTGATAGGATCATGCACACGTAGAAAAGGCCAGCGGAGAATTTAAAATATGTGACTGACATTTGGAATTTGAAATTTAGGTTTCAAATAAATCATCATGAGTAATGATGAAACTCAAATGGATTATCACATACGAGCAAAACAGAGGAGAGAAAATCTCACAGTCAAAACACTTAAGGCAATATTTGCATTCATGAGACCAAAGAAAGAAAAGAGCTGGGAGGGAGGCACAGAGACAAAAGAAAACCATGTGTGGCAGAGAGAAGGATGGAGTGTGTGGTGTCACAGAAACCAAGTCAGTTTAGGTTTCTGAGAAGCAGTGTCCAGTGGTATTAAATGCATCAGAGAGATCTATCTAAGAAGAATGGATGTTGGATTTAGAGATAAACATTTCATTGGTGACCTATGAAACAGTGACTTTTGTAAAGTAAGCATGGTAGAATTCAACTTG